GGGGGATGTTATGCAGACAGCACTAAGCATGGTATACATTTTGGGCTCCAGTTCTATTCGAACCTCCGTGTTGGTATCCTTTTCTCTGTTACAGAGTTTAGGGAGGAGGGATCGCCATTCTGTAGAGAGTAAAGGTAGAAGTGGTGTTGGCCTCAGTGTACCAGATAGGGGCTCTGTCCCCAGCACAGGCAGACCCTGACCTTTGAGACTCCCCTGCCCAGTGGGAGAAGCACTTAATGGGGAAGGTACAAAACCAATAATTTCCTCTTGAAGAAGCAGAGGAAGAGAACTTCCATTGGAGAGAGTAACTGGGTCTCTTTACCTGTGAGCTACAGCTCTCAACGGCCACTTGGTTCTGAAGGTCTAGCCCCGCCAGTGCTGGCCTTTGGTCTGTGTTTTTCTGAGCTCAGAGCTGCCAATTACCGAGCTGCAGCCTACTATATCACTCCGCCTCAGCAGTCACAGCTTAAATCCCTGAATGCTTTTGTTCCAAATTGGGCTCAGCTTCAGATGGCATTTGCCTTCTTCTGCCTCTGCCTCCATCAAGAAGCCATGGCTAGGGCTAGGGATGCAGCTGAGGGAGAGGTAGGGCATTTGCCCAGCATGCATAGAGCCCTGAATTCCATCCCCAGCACTGTCAACCCATCAATACCTACGTATCTAATAGTAATGGTCTCCAAAGGAATAGGGCAGGACATGTTGGGGTCAGATGCTGTGTGTCTGTTGGGAAAGATACAAAAGCTGAACAACCCACCTGACCTCTTTAATCTCTGGCTGCTTTTTCTTACCCCTGCCTCTTCTTTCATCACATCTGGCCAGACTTAGAACTGTGCTCCCTAGGCTGATTTCTGAAGTAGTACACAGAGCTGTCTGACTTAGTCCTCAGGTCTTAGGAACCACACGACTTGGTTAGTAGTTACGTCTGTAGCCTTTGGCATCAGCCTCTGTAAGTTCAAATGCTGAGTGATGATGTCAGGTCATTTTAGTGCTCAGTGTCTCAGTTTTCCCATCAGACAATCAGGAGAGCAAACAATGGGGGGGTATATTTATTCCTGTACATTTAGGGGAATAAATAAACAGGGTAACACAGGTAAAGCATTCAGGACTGGATTGACAACAGAGGCTGCATAGAATTTGAACCCCTTTGCCTTCAACTCTGAGCTTGGTTGGATGTGTTTATGTATTTGTAGCATTTGTTACGTGCCAGCCATTGTACACACGCTTTATTATATAACATCACTTTATTCCCAGCAGCCCTCTAAGGGCAGATATTGTCAGCTCCATTTTGTAGAGAGAAAACTGAGCCTCAGAAACGCAGATACCCAAAGTCCCTGGCTTACATAGCTTGCTTTCTCATGAATAAGCAATTTTTATTAAAAAAATTTTTTTAACAACAGGAGCAACTTTTTTAAATTGGAAACAAACCCAAAGTGAACCTTTTGGGGTCAGAGCAAGGAGGAGAACCCAGGGCCCTGTTTCCCCAATCTTTCTCTTGCCCCCCACAGGAGGGCTGGGGCTCTGTTGTCTACCACAAAAGCCCCCGGCCACTTGTGATCATTTATATTAGAAACTAAATTCAATAAAATTACAAACTCAGCCCCCCAGGTGCACTAACTACATTTCAAGGGCTTACTATATGCATAAGAAGTGTTTCCATTACTGCAGAATGCTCACAGGACAGTGCAGACCTGGAAGATTTTATAATGCAGAATTTGGAAATATCACTGATGAGTCCCAGGTAGACTTAGCTTCTCAGAAGCTTGTCTACTCACAGACAAAATAGGAAAATAGTAATAGTGACGATGGTGTCTCCTCATTGGGCACTTGTGAGACCCCAGTGCTCCTTTACAAAGCACCGGTGCAAACATAGGCCATTTCTATCAAAGACAGCCATGGAATCTCCAGTGTGTCTAGACCCCAGCTCTCTGGAATCATTGTTGAACTCACCCAACCCCACAATTTCATGTGCTAACATTGCTTTCATTCAGATATGGCCACAGAACCATGGATGGTCAGGACAGGACAGAAGGGCAGGTCCATTTGTGGTTGTCTGGCCAGGACACTGAGAATATGCCCACCAGCCCACCCCAGACATCTAGTGTGAAACTTTGGTCAGAATCAGTTATGCCTTTTGCAATCTTTTGTCCTGCCTCTGTGTTGACAGTGTCATGCTTTTGCAATGTTGTTCTTGGAGAAATCTCCCTTTTTTTTGCACACCTAGCTGTTGGTTACTCAGCAGATTTATGGAGAAATATGGTGCTGATTTGCAAAAATCTGTGCCTCTCTCTAAAAACACCAGTTTAAACTTTTGTTGGACAACTCTCATATGGCTGCTGAGTATGTGTTTAAATTTCTGTTCTAGAAATGCATTAGTGTGGCATGTTTTACCAAGATGGGCAAAGGTTTCATCCCATGAACACAACAGATGATCTTAACCTCTGATCACTCCATGCACACCGCAGTGTGGATGTGTGTGTGTTATGTTTGATTCTTGAGGAGTTGAGAGAGTTTTCTGAGACTTAGAAAGTCCTCATCCTACCAAGGTACTCAGCATCTCCATGGCAACTCCCTGTGAGGTACTGACATCACAGACATCTCAGCTTCATCAAGAGGACAGATGTCACCCATGGCCTGAAGTCCTCAGGACACGTGTGTGATCCAATTGCAGAAAGTGATTTCTGGCTTACAGAATCCTGAAATTCCTCAGCTGGACAAATATCTCAGCAGCAGCATGTCATCTCACAGATGGAGGAAGTGGTTTACCTGAGGCCACACCATCATCAAGCCCAGCGTGGAAGTCAGATCTTTTCTACCTACTACTCCAGTTCTCCCATCCCACAGGCTGGATGACTTTCTACCTTTCCTAGCTCTGCCCCACATTTCCACAGTTTCAGTACTGCTGGTTGTCCAGAAAGACTGGCTGCCCCTTCATTTGTCAACTGTGGGGTGCTCTCACCATTGACCATGTTCAACTTTCTTCTTCTGCTGCTGCTGCTGCTTGGAGATCTGAGCACCTTTGACTACCAAGAGAACTTCATTGAAGTCATTTTGACAAAAGCCTCAGAATCTTTCTATGAGTGAGACAAGCCCTGCCATTTTGCCCCACCTGTAACTTTTCCAAAAACAAAACAAATGAAAATGACAAACATGGTTGTAAACCTTCCAAATCGTTTCATACCCACAGGGAGTCCTTCAGCAGCTCTCTCTGAAAGAACACAGCACTTTACATCCGCTTCCAGACACTTTCATTTTTCTTTGCTTCACTGTTTTATGTTTTCTTGTTTAAAAAAAGAAAGGCAATAAAGTTGAGGATGTGGCAGGAAGTTCAGTAATCCGTTTTGGTTTCCCTACCTGTTTTAGAGTTGAGACATCCATTCCTGTGTTTGGGGATGACTAGCTCAGCCTTGTTAAATAACATCAAAATGAGGAAGCCATGTGCACACTCACTCGTAGGGTTCTAGGTATTGGTGGTGTATATCATGTCATCTATGAGATTACACCATCACTTCTGATGGTGTAACTTTTGAGTTACTTGGTGATTTCAAAGATACGTCCATATGTAAAAGTATATCTCAATAAAAATAAATACATCCCAAAAGAAAAAAAGTGCTATGTTCATTGACATGGAAATTCATTTGTTCTGTATGAAATGAGAACAGAGAGCAATTTGTGGAATAGTTTGCTATGACCCTTTTTGGGGAGTTAAAGCAAGGGTTGGCAAACTATGGTCCATGCACCGATTTCTTTTTATAAATAACATTATATTAGAACAGAACGGAGTTCACTTGTTTGTGTATTGTCTATGGTTGCTTTGGGGTGGTGTATTAGTTTGCTCAGGCTGCTGTAACAAAGTAGCACAAGCCAAGTGGCTTAAACAACAGAAATCCACTGTCTTACAGTTCTTGAGGCTGAAAGTCTGAGATTGGGATGTTGGTAGGACCATGTTGCTTCTGTGAGTGACAGGGAAGGGTCTGTTCCAGACTTCTCTGCTATGGTTCCCAGGCTTGTAGCAATACAACACATAATGTTCGGTGTGTGTGTGTGTGTGTGTGTGTGTGTGTGTCCGGATTCCCCCTTTTTATATGGACACCAGTCATACTGGCTCAGAGGGTCGGTGCTCCTTCAGCAGGATTTCATCTTAACCAACTACATCTGTAGCAGTGACTTTGTCTCCAAATAAGGTTACATTATGGGGGATTAAGACTTTAATATATGGGGTTTTTTTCGGAGTGAGGGGCAACTCACACTATGACACCCTACCACAGCAGAGTTGTATAGTTGCAACAAAGACTGTATGACCCACAAAACCTAAATGATCTATCTAATCTTTACATTAAAATTTGCTAACTCCAGGGTGTATGAGCGCACACACGTGTGAGATACACATAAAAACCTTGGAAGACTGCTTACAAGTATATTAATGGAGGCTTTCCCTGAATTACAGAATTATGGGTTACAGAATTTTATAACTCCTTTATTTTATTATTTACAGAATTTTAATTTTTATTGTATTCTTAATGTATTACTTGGGTTTTGATACCATTGTGCAGTAATTTTTATAACATAAATAAGCGGAAAGTATATTTCTTTTGGGAAGAAAAGAAACCTTTCCTACTTAGGTCCTATTGCCTTCCTGCTCACTACCCCAAATTCTGTGGACCCTGAGTGGCTTAAAGTGCTCCGCTACAAACCTTTCCAAACAGGCCACTGTCCCCCACTGCTGGGAGGTGTTAAGGACAAACACTTAGCAAACAGCAAACCTGCCTGTTTACTCACTTGGGTAGATGGATTCTTGGTGTCTTTATTTAGCTGCCTCTTGTAAGTTGGAGAGAAAAGGTTCTGGCTTTTATCTCCTCATTAAAAATAGATCTTTTATGATGGGAGAATGGAGCAGCATGAGTCACCATCTCCAGCCTTCTGTGGTACAGGATCAGGTCTGAGGAGCAGGGCCCTGGGATGACTCCATCCACCCCATGACCCCTGGTTTCTTGTCATTTCAGGAAGTTGGATGCTTTCATCTATGATGCTGCAGTCTTGAATTACAAGGCTGGGAGGGATGAAGGTTGCAAGCTGGTGACCATCGGGAGTGGGTACATCTTTGCCACCACGGGCTATGGAATTGCTCTCCAGAAGGGCTCTCCTTGGAAGAGGCAGATTGACTTGGCTCTGCTCCAGTTTGTGGGTGATGGTAAGACCCCGGGGACACCCCCACTTTGGGAAGTGGGAGTTGAGGCCCTTGCACTAAGTTTTCTAATTGACTTACCAGCAGATAACTTGTACAATGAGTTTGTTCAACAAAAGTATCCAGTGAGTGCCTGTACGTAATGAATGGTTCCTTAAGTTGTTTAAAATTGAAACCAATTCTAGATAACTCAGTTTTAAAAGGGAAATTATTTTAAGGTTACAGAAGCATCTCTCTGACTGGATTTAGGAAAGAGTCAAACAAATAGGTTTAGAGAAAAGGAACTCCCCTGATTCCTTAACAATGGAATCCACAGGTCTCTCTCTAGAGAGGTCATTCTCAATGGGAGAATGGCCAAGTCTGGAGATGTTTCTGATGGCCACACTGGGAGGCTTCTAGCATCTAGTGGATGGAGGATAGGGGTGAAGGGTGTTGGCGAACATCTAATAATACCTAGGCCAGTCTCCTACACCTTGAAACACACAGTTATGTGACCCCCAAATATTAGTAGTGCTGGATTGAGAAATGCCGTCTCAGAGTAAGCAGGGTGCCTGAGTTGGCCAGCTTTCCTGTGCTGTGACAAAATACCTGAGATAACCAACTTAAAAGGTGGAATGATGTGTTTTGGGTCATGATTTCAGTCTGTGGTCACTTGGCCTGGCTGCTTTTCGACCTGTGATGAGGCAGTGTATCATGGCAGAAGTACATGGCTGAGGAAGCAGCTCAGCTTATAGAAGCCAGGAATCAAAGAGACAGAGAGAAAAAGGGGCTGGAGACAACCCTTTCCCCTTCAAGAACACAACCCCCATGACGCACCTCCTCCAACTAGGTTCCACCTCCTACTGTTTTCCCCATCTCTCGGTAGCCCATTAAGTTATGAATCCATAAATGGATTGATAAGCCTCTGATGAGGTCAGAGACCTCATGCTCCAATCACCTCCACTCACCAAAGGCCCCACCCCAGAACACTGCTGCATTGGGGACCAAGCTTTCCACACATGAACTTTTGGGGGGAACATTTAAGATCCAAACCATAGTACTGCCCAAGCCTCACTCTGCTTTCGAAATTCTAACTTTTAAATTCCAGAGGGAAGGGTTCCTTGTGAATTTTGGGTCAAAGACTCTTCTGAACCCAGCAGTAGTGGGTCGTGCTAGGCAAAGATGGCAGCTCTTGTTATTATCCAATGGAGGAAGGAAAGAGAGGCAATCTCTGGAAGCGGTAGAGTGAGCAGGAATCCCATGGGTTTTCAGTAACAATTCACTCCTTCACTGCCTAACATGCAAACCATCTGCAGTTCTACCTTGAGGGGATTTACTGTGTGCAGGAATTAGGACATTTATAGACCTGTACAGCCAAGTGGGCTAACTGGGTCCCCAGAAGCATTTTGTTTGTTTTGTCTTCCCCTCACTTTATAGCTGGTGATCTCATCAGAGCCTGCACTTCCCAGATTTGGTTTTTAAAGTCCTGCCCTGTGAGCTACAGTTTCTTTTCAAACTGTTGACACTGAGATAGGAAAAGGAACCTCAACAAAGAGAACAGGTTAGCACCAGAAATCCATTCAGTGTGAAGAGGGTATGAAATTTCACAGCATAGGTCAGCAGTCCCATTCATGAACAGGTGGAGACCATGTTCAGAGAGGTCAAGGAACATGTCATGCTTGTCTAGAGCTGAGAGAAGAAAGCTGAGCAGCCACCATAGCTGAATGCAATGTGGAAATAGACGGTGGTGCTGGGTGCTGGTGGCTCACACCTGTAATCCCAGCAACTCAGGAGGCAGAGATCAGGAGGATAGCAGTTCAAAGCCAGCCCAGGCAAATAGTTTGCGAGACCCTATCTTGCAAAAACCCATCATGAAAAAGGGCTGGTGGAGTGGCTTATGGTGTAGGTCCTGAGTTCAAGACCTAGTACGGCAAAAAACAAACTACAAAAAACAAAAAAACAAAAAAAGAGACATTGGTTAGGACATGGGGTTGGTGTGAATTTGAATAGGGTGTAGAATTCTTACAGATTTTTCTCCTCTCTTTACTTCCAGAATCAAACACTCAGTTCTCAGTGTCATCAGACGTTCTAAATGTGATTTATATTTAACTCCCAAATAAGAGTATTTGATTCTCAGAATTCCGTATAGGCATTTGTTCCTTCCTCAGATCAATAGTCATGTTCTCTACTGTGTGGTCGTGATTTGTAGCTGTGTGGTCAGTTATTGTTGTGAAGTCTTCAAGGCATGCAACAACCAACATCTACTCTGCTACTGGGAGTGTGGGTGGAGTGCAGAAGCCCTGCACCACACATGTTTACTCTGAATTTCTGGCTGGCAGGCACTAGTTATCTGGGGGAGGGTCTTTTCTAGGCTGTCTCAGAGGCACTGAAAGAACACCTAGCTGCCCATGCACCTTTTCAAGTCTCTGCTTTGTCACTTGCCTGTCTCCTATCTAAAGCAAGTCAGATGACTAAGGCCCTTAAAGTCAAGCAGTTAGGAAAGGTTGAGTTTTAGGGCAAGGTGCATGGACACTGCAGAGACCCTGAATATTCAGGGATAATTGTTCCATCGGCTTCAAGGGTGAACTATTCAGCAAGCAAGTCTTATTTCTACAGTGAACATCACAGATCCCTGAACATATCAGGTAATCAGCCTATGAAGGAGTGAATGGATAAATACAGGTGTAGATGAATGCCTGGTGTCAGGATGTATTTCATTTCACAAGAAACTTTTGAGTGTGATGGGTATCTGTCAAGTGAGTGAATCCTAACTCTAGCCCTGTCCACCATGGTTGTCACTCCTGCAGCATCTATTACAAAACACTTGACAGAATTTGGGAATAGGAGAGTGTCAGTCACCATGTGTGATGTACTGCATGTGTTCTTTAAGTTAATCTTCAGAACAGCTATGGATTTAACCATTGCTTATTCCCATTTTACAGATGGGGAAATGGAAGCTCTGTGGGATTATGGGTCCCTTCACTGTAAGTGACAATGTCTCTACTTCAGGGGCCTTATTGAAGAAAGAAGTTAATTAGGCAAAACTCATGTTTATTTTTCTAAGATGTCTATTACAGTTGACTAATTAGACACTTGAGATTTATAGGAGTATTTTAATGCATATCTGAACCAAATCTTAAATTGTGTCACTTACAAATAGTTCTGTGAAAGGAATGGTTTCTCTTAGCCTCAGTTTACTTGTTTGTGAATGGGTTTAGGCATATTTACCTGGTAAAATCAGAGGATTAAACAAGAGAAGCCATGTCAAGAGCTTAGTTTAGCACAGAACCTACAGCATAGAAATGGCCCAGTAAGTGTGAACTGTAACCTTTATCATCTTTATTACCATAACCATTGCTACCAACATCATTATCATAATTGTCACCATAATTACCATCACATCACCACTTCCATCATTGTCACCATAGTCACCACCATCATCACTGCATCACCATGATTACAGCCACTGTAATTACCAGCACCCTCAGCCTCAGCATCACTGTTGTCACCATTTCCATCACCACCATGGTAACCACCATGATCATCCTCTTTCTTCTCACCCCTGTCCTCTTCTTCCCATCAACACCATCATTTTCCATGCACAACTTCCCAGTTCAACACAACTCATTTGGTGTTATTCTGGCAATACTGTATCCCAGTTGAATCATGGAAACAACCTTTGTGGTGCTGAATTGAACTATGTCCTTTGCAGCCTCTTTCAGAGGCTCACTTGCAGAGCATTAGGCTCTTAGAGATGTTTTATGTCCTGGCTCATTGCTTTCCTGGTCACATTGTTAGGGCTGGGAAATGTGTCCTTTCAGCATCATCTTCTGAGACCATCTGGAGGCAAAGACATAGGAGAGAAAATGACGTTGCTCCAGGGGGCATCTTAAGATAATCTTCCCGGAAAGCCATGTCTCTCTAGGAGTAAATACATGAATTAGCACAGCTGCATAAATATTTCACTTATCTTATGCAGCTTCAGCAGGATTAATTATGCTCTAAAATTAGACCTGAAAAGAACACAGTGCCAGGCAGTACCTAATTATTATTCATCCTTTAGAATGGAGTGTTTATCTCTTGTTATAGAGTAACTACAGTGGACGATTAGGAGTCTAATGAGTGTCAAAAGTAGAAAAAAATTTCCTAATGAGCTGTGTAAATATAACCTTTGAGTGAAGTGTTTGGTTATTGGGAACCTCTTACGTGAAGCCTGCCAGGCATTTTCCTAGGAAGAAGGGCTACTAATCTCTCTTGAGGGGTCCACACTATCCCAGTAAGACCTTGCCTTCCTTTTCCTGTCTAATTGTCTGTGTCCTTTCTAAGATGGTGAAATGCATCATGGGACATTTGTTGCTAAGTAGTTTAGTAACACTGTTCACAGGTGCTTTTCAACATTTATTGAGAAATGGCACTTCTGTTTCAAGAAGGGAATGCCACAATCTTTTCCTTCTTTCCTTCAAAAGACTTATAGGTTAGCTTGTTGACAGAGTATAAACTTAAAGTATCTAACTTTAAAATAAAAATCAATTTGTAATAACTCATATATATGAATTTCTATATACGTATGTATATATACATATATGTAGACATATGTACATGTACACTTTATTGGGTACCTAGGGTAGATAAGAGGATCACTAGGCAGGTATATGAGACATCCTAGTCTTTCTAGTGGGAAATGAATGCACAGAATGAGTCATAAGGAAAACGCGTGGTGAGGTTTAGAGAAAGAATAGACTGGATCCACGGAAGCTGCAGTGCTATATTTATTCATCCAGCAAGCAGCAAATCTCTGTTGAGCACTTGATATTTCCCTGGTACCTAAAGATGACACAGTGAACACAAAGACTTGGTAAGCCTGGGCTGTAAAGAACGGCATTTCTGGCTTCAAAGTGGGGGTGAAAAAAGATCTCCCAGGTGTCGTTACCTCATGGGCGTTGTGATTTTTAATAGGATTCTGGGATTTGAAGAGACAGAAGGAAGATCACAGAGGTCAGAATCCTTCTGGTGTATGGGGCCAGCAAAAAAGACATCAAGGGGAATAAGGTTGATAATTGTATTATTGAGAAGCAAATGGAAGAAAATTGTTTTGGGACTACTCTATGATCTAGCGTCTTGCCAAATTTATCACCTACGATATCCA